CATCAGGCTGTGAACGCAGCGTGCCCTGCACGCCCTGCAGCCGGGACTCGCCCAGGGGCCGCTGCCGGTGGCCACTGCCCCGGGCCAGGGGAGTCTCCTCCGCTCGGCCGCCGCTGCACCGAGCCTCGCCGTCCTCCCCGCGGCGCCCGGGGACCGCTTTGCCGTTCTCCGCCGGTTCCCCCCGAGGGCTGAAGGCGCAGGGGCAGCGCCGCAGGTCCTGGGAGACGGCGTGGAGCCGGCGGTCGGCGCGGCGCGGGCAGCGCAGCAGCTTGCGGAGGGCGCTCCTGAAGTCGGGGCTGCGGCTGTAGATGATGGGGTTGAAGGCCGAGTTGATGTAGCCCAGCCAGTTGAGGAAGAGAAAGAGCTGGTCCGGCACCAGCGGCCGGCAGAAGACCTTGATGATGTTGGCCACGAAGAAGGGCAGCCAGCAGAGCGTGAAGGTGCCCATGATGATGCCCAGGGTTTTCAGCGCCTTGTGCTCCTTGATGGCCAGCAGTCGGGACGGYCGCCTGCGCCAGCTGCTCCCGGGCGGCTCCTGCACGAACCTCACCTTGTCCTTGCCGATGAGCCGGACGTGCCGCGTGGCCACGGCGAAAACTCGCACGTAGACAAAGATCATGACGAGCAGSGGCACGTAGAAGGAGATGGTGGAGGAGACGATGGCGTACGTCAYGTTGGTGACAAAGTCGCAGCAGCGCGGGTCGTCGTAGCAGCGCGCCGCCTGCTCGTCCGCGCCGTCCCGCCACCAGTGGTTCATGATGGGCAGGAAGGAGATGAAGGCGGAGATGGCCCACACCAGGCACACCACAGCCCGCGCCCGGCCCTTGGTCACCAGCGCCTCGTACTGCAGCGGGGCGGTGATGGCGAGGTAGCGATCCACGGCGATGGCGCACAGCGTCTCGATGCTGGCCGTGACACACAGCACGTCCAGCGAGGTCCACAGCTCGCACACCGTCGTGCCGTAGGGCCAGTGGCCGCTCAGCAGGATGGTGGCCCCCGGCGGCACCACCAGCAAGCCCATGATGAGGTCGGCGCAGGCCAGCGAGGTGATGAAGACGTTGGTCATGGTCTGCAGCCGCGGCGTCTTGGCGATGGCCACGATCACCAGCAAGTTGCCGGCCACGATGACCAGGACGGTGAGGCTGAGAGCGGCCCCCAGCACCCACTGCCGGCCCAGGCTGCCGGCCCCGCTGCAGTTACCGGAGCCCCCCCAGGCGCTGCCGTTCCCCGCGGGGAGGGGGCTCATCTCGGCCGGGCTGGGGGCACCGGCCCCGCGCCCCCCGTGCGCTCCCCGCCGCGCTCCCGGCGCACCCTCGGGGCGGACCGGCGGCACCGGCTCCCGTCCGCGCCGGAGGAGGAGCCTTTAAAGGCTCGGGGCGGCCCCGGGCTGCCCGTTCCGGAGGGCGAGGGAAGGGGAGCGGGCGGCGGCACCTCCTCCTCCCCCCGGACGGGCTGCCCCGGCCCGCCCCGCTCCCCCGGCATCCCCGCCGGACGCTTCGGCCCCTCTGGCCGTGCCCCCCGCCCTTCTCCGCGCTCTCCATCCCCTCAGGGTGCGCTCCGGTCCTTCTCTGTGCGCCCTTTGTGCCGCCCTCACCCTCCATGCACCCTCCCTGGGCAGGACAGACTGTCCCTGCTGGGGACAGTGACACCCCTGCTGTCCCCATCCCCCCCGACATCAGCAGAGGTGACAAGGTGACAGCCCTGCTTCTAACGCTGACACCCAGGGCCACCTTCACCATTTCACCTCCGCATTTATTGCCTGAACCTCCTTCCCAGTGGATGGAGGAGAGCTTTCTTACTCCATCTCCTGAATTTGGGTGGGTGCTGGTGTTTGGAGTCCCCCACCCACATTTCCTGCCCCATTCACTTGGCACTGGAGGAACACCAAAATTCTGGAAGGCTCTGGGAGGCTCCAGAGCCCCTCACTGTTCCCAAAGTGGATCATCTTTCCCTATCAGTTATTTACACAAATACTGGAACTTCTAAGACAGCCACTCTCCAAACGTGGCATTTTGGAGTTTCAGCCAAACGGGGACATGTTGACAAAGACGGAAAAAATATGTGTAAAAAAATGATCCGGTTGGCATTTCTTCCCATTCATGAGCTACGAAAGCAGAGTCCGGGTTTTACGAGCTTGATCTTTAC